ATATATATATATATATATATATATATATATATATATATATATATATATATATATTTGTTTATCTCTAGAAGATTTACAGCCACCATAATACCGCAAATGAATTGTCTGAAGTACCAGTGCTGATTTCTGGTTTTGGCCCAGCACTTCAGAAAATGACTCACTATAAAGATATCAATTCTACATAACATCATTTACATCACTATATGAGAAAATCATAATCCTAAATATATTCCCTAGTCTGTTACCTTATTGAATTTTGCTTTCTACAATCAGGACAAACAAATAGGTATCAGAGGAAACTGTATGGGTGAAAGTATGTGGATTAATTCTATATTGCATTTGCCTGATGTTTTGCTTTTTATATATTCTGCTTAAATAAGCCTGAAAAATAAAACCATGGATCGATGGCCTGAGATGTGTCATTACTGAGAAAGCAACCCTGGGATTAACTTAACCAACCATTCTTCCATGTAATAAGCAAACCTTGTCCTGGGATTCTCAGACACATGCTGTGGCCCTTATATGGCCTTTGCTGTGGGATACACCCTACCCCGTGCGTTGTGTGACTCACCATGCATCATCAGGCTTCCCTGCCGTGCAGGAGGGAAGAATTCATGAGCAAAGGAGAATAGCAGAAACTTCATGTCAGGGAGAGAAAAATAGTCTGTAGTAGCTTTTAGGAGTAGACTATAGTTAACACTACCAGTAACTGTCATTGTGTGCTGTCATACTATAATTTTTTAATACTCACAAAACCTATGTAGGTATAGGCTCCACTTTTTCACAGATGATGAAACTTCTAGTCTGAAAACATTGAATAAGTTGCTATCAAATTATGCAGCTGGCATATGGGTGAACTTTGATCTGACCCCGGGCTGTATTAGCCTCCGAGCCTTTCTCTTTCATGTCAAGGATATGCTATATGGCCCACCATAGACTGTTGTTTTCTTGAAAGTGTAGCATTTTGTAGAGTCACCTAGTAACTTGTTCTTTGCACAACTCTGGGGAAGTAACTAAAGGTCTCATGGTGCTTGATTTCTCATTTGTGCAGTGGGAGCAAGGATAATACCAAGTGCAGAAAGTTGTGGTAAGGATTAGCAAGTATATAAACGTGACACACTTTTGAGGGTGCTTGGGGATACAAGAAGCATTGCATATGACAGTGATTATAATAATGCCATTGTTGAGACTGAGGTTCAGTGAAGATCGTTCCCTGAGAACACTTCAGAACAACCTGCTGCCTCTGAATCATAAACTCCCCAAGAGCAGGCCTAATACTGTCACATCTATGTGCTTACCTGATGAGGAGAGTGCTACCAACCCAGGATCATACTCAAAAACAAGCAGGCAGCTAACTAACTGTAGACAATAGACAAAGGAAATTTCAGGACTGCAGCTCTGATCTTTCAGAAACTTGACCAAATGCGCCCTGGGGTTTATTTAAATTTTTATAGGCATGTCTGTTCTTGCAGACTGAACCATGTAGGCTGTCTTTTTTTTCCTTCTTTCCTTTTTCTCTTTTCTTCTGATCCGAGACAATCAGAAAGGGGAAAGAGCAAGACAAAGTGGTAGGAAGTCCTGTGATGAAGATCTCATGGTGGGGCAGCGGAGAAGGAAGGAAAAAGGACAACATTAATACACTATCATTTATTTATAACGTGAGATTCAAAAAGTTTGCACTAGTCTGGTTGAGAGAGGAGAGTCCACCCTCTGACTTTCCCATCTGCATTGTCATTTTGCCCCCTGAACTCTGGTTTATTGTTTACTCAAAAGGCAGCTGGCTCGACCAGCTTCCCTGGTGTACTCCTTTGAAAATAATAATGAAAAACTGTAAGAGTCATTCTCCCAAGGAGATATAGAGATGTGTTGCATTCCCATACACCTGCCTTCCTTTCTCTCAGATGCTGAAATGATGCTGAGCATGAACAAGAAGGCCAGTCATGTGATGTTCCCTGGGGTGACCCTGCCCACAACCCCTCTGTTCCCACAAGCAGTTGGCTATGAAACTGCCCTCAATTGCCCACCCCAGCTCCAGCGGAGCCCCTCTGCCCCCTGTTTCGAACTCAGGCTTGTCATGCAGTGGCCACAGCATTCTCAAAACTTGATGCTGCTGCCTATGCCTGTACCCCACAATATTACTTTTTATCTAATGAGACTACACACAGGCTTGTCGCTAAGCTCTTTGAATCTAGTTCAAGCAATCTGTCCATGCCAGTCTTCTATACTGACAGGTCTATATCTCTACATGTATGAACTTTTTTTTTCTTTCAAATAAAAAAGAACTACAAAAACTAAATAAAACCACACATTGTCCGAACTCAAAGGATGTCCCCATGTCTTCCTGTCGCCAGACAGCTTTCGGATGACTAAACAAATAGTTGGTAGACAATCCCAATCCAGAATCCATCCTTCCGAAAATGATGCCATTTTTCCTTTGTGCTATCTGACATGATTCCAGGTTAATACTCTACAATTTTTTTTGACAGATTTTGTTGTCTGAAGTATGTCACCCTTATCTCTAAACAACCTCTTAGTCTTTTCTCTCTCCCTCTCCACTTACCTCTGGATAGACATGAAGAGAAATTTATCTGGGATAATCTAAGAATTTTTTCTCATGATATTTTTTGGAGACTCTTGAAATGTGGAGCTCCCCCTCTGTCCTCAAACCCCAATCATCTCAATCTATATTAGATGTTTGATAATATATAGATAAATTAAAAAGCATATAATTTTATATTTTAGGATTTATAGTCAAATAATACTATGGAATATTTATTTGTGTGTGTGTGTGTGTGTGTGTGTGAAAGAACTTTAAGCAACTAGCATTGACTCACGTTTGCACATCCAGCACTTGAGAGACTAAGGCAGGAGAATTTCTATGAGCATAAGGCTCATATTGCCTACATGATGAGACTTTGTCCCTAGAAGACAAAAATAAAAACAGGATAACCAAACAGAAGCAAACAAACTTGAGAAGCTTGCAGAATATGCCACATTCCTAGGTTTGTTGAGGGACAGAACTCTGGTTATGTTCAGTTTCTCAGGAGCTAAGGACAGAGTACCCAACTGCTCCTGTGAGGCAACCATTCTCTCTCCACAATACAGCAAGGTAGGTTCTGACTTGTTTCCATTTCATGTGTGTGTGCTGTGCATGTGTATGCATGCATGCTTTTGCACTGTGTAGCTTGCACCTATGTGAGAGTTTGTGCTCATGTATGCTTGTGCATCTGGAGGCCAGAGGTGATATCCTGAATTATCCTCATTGCTCTCCTAAATTAATCCTGAGATGGGAATCTTTCAATCAAACCCCGAACTCACCGATATGACGAGTCTTCTTAGGCAGCCTGCTCTGGTGATCCCATCTCTGTGTTGTGCATTCAAAAGCTGGAGTCTCAGGCCTCCATGCTCACAAAGCATTTAGACAAGTATATATTTAAGTGGATTTCTAGGGCTACAAATCAAGGGCTCCAAAATCCTGATCTCACAGCAAGCACTTTAACTACTCAACTTCCTAAAGCTATTTAGCAAAGTTTTTTACTTTTTAGAAAAAAAAATATATATATATATGAAAAAACATATATATATGAAATATATATATATATATATATA